CTTTTTTACGTTCAATGTTTATGACCGAGTGGATATCGTAAAGAAACGAATTCAATATTTCCACAAACTTCATCTACACCACGTTCCTAAGTTGTTTGTTTGGAAGCATTAAATAAATAAATCATTATATTAGTTGGTATGTCGAAGAATTTGTCAGCATTATGAAGTCTCGAAAAAAAAAGAAGATCTGATTGAAGGAAGTGCATGTGCGAGGTTATCTTCGGTCATCATCAACAAAATTGGCAACATGTTAAAATGTTGCAACATCCGCTATTGAATTTTTATGCTAGCAATTTGATTATCCGATTCAAAGCAATTCAAGGCAGTTTGATTATCTAATTCGGTACACTCACATCAAAATGCAAGAATGAATTCGAACGAGTAATAAACACGTGTGCGTTTGAAAACATGAAACGAAAGTGTTTTTTCAAATGGATATTCAAAACTTTTCTCTACAAGAATGAAACAGAGCAAACATAGCAACATGTTGAATCACTGGAATACGTGGATGGATGTTTTGCGTTCGTGTTGTGAAAGAAATTAACAAATAAACATCCTGCAGGTTTCTGCATGTGTGAGGGAATTTATTTGAAAACATTTTTGGATCAAATTTCCGTTTCTGAAAGTATAGTATAAAGCCCGTCAGAAAGTAAATATTGAAAGAGCCTTCTTAGATGTTACAAGAATGTATGTAAAAAAGTTGTAATTTTGGTAGAAAGTTTAGAAAATCCATTACATATTATAAAAATAATGATTAGTGATAGATACACAGTTCATTAAACTGAAAAGTCGAAATTTATCAGAAGAGAAAGACAAGTAACGAATGAATCAGTAAAAATTGAAATAAACAAGAAGCAATAATAAAAAATTTTATAACATTTGTTTCCTATTAGAATGAAGCATATGAGTGTTACGAGTTACAAAAGATCTTCTTGTATAATACCAATCGCTGCGATCCATTTTTTACATCGTAACTAGATCGGATATTTTTTTTTCTAAACTTTTTCGCTAAAATAATTTGACAGAAAATTTAATCAAAAGTAGAAGTGTTGAGAGGCGTAATGAAATGGAGTCAACAAAAACTCGGTGATAGAGTTATATTCGCGTGAGTAACAAAAAGGAATGAAAAAAATATAGGTAGAAATGAAAAATGTCAATGTCCAGATTTATAATCTGCAATTCTACTTCAGAGAAATATAATTATAACATATTTTTCAAAAATTCTCAACTAATTTCATCTTAATTTTTAATGCGTTTTTCCACTATGTATCATTTCAGACATTTTTAAAATATCAATAAAATCATTGAAGTTTATTAAAACAAAAATATAGCAGATTATTTTGAAAATTCAAATTTCTATTTAACGTTCAATAAATTAGAATTAAAATGTAAATTAAGGTATAAAACTTTAATTATTTCTGAGAAATGGGGTATGATATTTTCACAAATTCGCCAAAGTTTTTTTTAAACAAAAAATCCTTTGCCGTTTTTGTTCAATTAAGTTTTGATAAACAAAAATAAAAAAAAGTAATGTCTGGCTGTAGGAACGTACGGAAGGTATTGATAAATAAATGTTTTTAATATTTAAAACCATTTTCGTGAAAAATTTATTTGTTGATTATTCTAAGAATTTATAAAAGCGCTACCAATTGACGATTTAGAATGAAAATTTTTAAAATAGATCTAAAAATTTAAAATTTTTGTCATTGTTGTTACCCCGAAAAGTCTTAACACGGATAAAACAATTTTTTATGTAGTTTATTTCAAATGATTTCTAAGAAATATATAATTTCTAATATTTTATTTTCAATAGCAAACCATATAATATAAATATGAGTTTTTAAAATATCTAAATTGTGTGTGTACTGTGAGTTTATAAATATCAGTGCAGTGAGTTATTGTTGTAAGTTTGCTGACATGCAACAACGTTCAACAGATATCTAAGTTGAAATTATTCATTATTGGTTTGTTTTGTTTTGTTAAATTTCTATGAGTTGATCTGAATAATACTTTTTTTCATTATTTATTTAAATAATTTAATTTACGACTTGAGTTCTCGATGGAACAATAGTACCTTACCTATATGATATTTGATATTTTGTTAGAAGTTTTAAGATTGCTGTCTATATTATTATTTTAAAATAAATTATTAATTACTGTAATAATATTTTATATTATTATTATATATAAGTATATTGAAATTTTTAACATCCCTTTTTAATAATTTTATATTTATTTTATGATGTACGTCTGCGTGTAAGATTGCATTTTGTGTTGGTTAAAATTTTTTTAATTAAATACAGATCCATTAGAAACCCTTTAAACATTAAAAAACGAACCATCAGTTGTTTCAAAAAATGAATACAAAAAAAAACAAAAAAGTTCAGCAAACATTAATTTTATTTTGCATTTTAGAAAAAAAAATTGATTATACATTATTCTCTTCTCAGCAAACAGTGGCTAATGTATGAGCGCGTTACAGACAGGTGCACACATACACACGGTTACAGATACAATATATATATATATATATATATATATATATATATATATCTATATATATATATATATATATTACAATATATATATATATATATATCTATATCTATATATATATATATATATATATATTGTACATTCTTTAATATAGATATAGATATCGGATATATATATATATATATATTAAATATAATTAAATTTATATTTTATATAGCAAGTAAAATGATATTGATATGTTGAGATAAGCCCCCTTGTCTCAGCTTGACATTTAAAAACTTCCTGCCAGGGCATATCATGTTACAACAATAATTTCTTTCTGGCATGCCAACTATATTTATAGAATACGATATAAATACATACCACATAGGCATGCCGTCTTAAGTGTTCTCGGCTCGGATGTTAACCAAGTTACGTGCGGCACATAAATAAATATGTTCTTCTTGCATTATCGGATAATAATCGCGTTATGTTTTGTAATTAGCTGGCGTTGAAAATTATATTTTTGCGCTTTTTTAAAACGGACCATTTTTATTTTAAGGAAATGTTTTTTAGTCATTTGAATTAATTCAGTTAATTCTCAGATGATTCAAACACAAGTGCGCGTGTAAATAAGAGTGAATTCGCGTATCGCGCAGTTTGCATGTGTTGGGAGGGGATAGATTAGGATAGGATTAGAACCTGGCACTACAAAGGCTGGCCCAGGCCCAAAACCATTACAACATAGCGCCGTGTTTAATATAAACTGTGTTTAATGTGTTGTTATGAAGATGTTTAATGTTCCACTACTTTTTGGTGGACGATTTTATTTTCAATGTTCATGTGCCGTTCATTAGATGTTCATTAGATGTTCATTAGATAATAGGTATCAAGAAGGAGTTAATTACAACTCAAAAACAAATGTACATAAATTTGATCTGTGCAATTTGATTTTTAATTTTTGGGAATTTTTAGTCTATTTCGATTTTTATTTCCTGCAAAATTTTTATTTGGTATCAGTTTCTTTGCAATTTGGCGTATGGTATTCTAAGCAGGTATATGGTTTTGTTTTTTTATTTTTTAGTTCTTATATGTTTTCCTAGCTGCATTTTTAAAAATTTAAATTTATAAATTTCATTTCATATTTTTCATATAAATTGCATTTAATTTTCTTCTTTCATTTTTCGAAATTAATTTGAATTTGAAATGAACTGAGTTTGGCTGAATGAGTCATTTCAATACAACCTGGGTGTCTTCATTTATCTCAATTTGACGCTTTTTTGCATTTTTTCGACAGATCAAATGAAGTTTTTTTATTCAGTTTGACGAATGGATGAATTGAATGTTCCAATTTTATTTCATTTATCAATTTAAGTTAATCTTCCAAATTTTTCCAAAATATATTTTGACAATGTAGTTTTTAATAATTTAGCTTCAACAAAAATTTAATTGTTTTCTGTTAAATCTTTGAGTTGGATCGCAAAAGGATAAAAATATAAATTTTTTTATTAAATTAAATTTGCTTTTTGTATACAATTTCTGAAAAATTATTTTGTTTTCTTCAAAAACTAACTTTAAAAGTAACATCTAAGAATACTTCGCAACAATGGAGAAAAAGGCAAAACAGAAAGGACTAATGGTAATTTTTATCAGAATTGTTTTGACATGGAATGCTTGACGTAAGTGATGATGGATGGCAAAAATTAAGAGAGAGCCAATGAAATGACCTCAAGGTTTTATACGAGTGATTGATCGATTGACTGGTTGATTGGTGGATCGATCGACTGGTTGATTGGTTGATGGATGGTTTGTTTCGTTCAATGGTGGACGTAGAGGAGCAGCTGTTGAATGAATAAATTGAACTCGACTGTAAAGTTGGTTGAAGTTTAGTTGATTGACTTGGTTGTTGACTTACCGTGTGGTTTATTAAAAAAATATTTAAAAAAATGAAATTTAATAAACGTTTTGTTGCAAATTTTAAAAGAATTTTTTTAAAAAGATTAATTGGCAGTGATCAGACGACATTCCTATCTATCTTGGCTCTTTAAATTATTATTTCATGGTGGTTGGAGTAATCATGACGCTAATGAGCCAAATTAATTATTCAAATCTATTTTATTCCATCTAAAATTTTATAAAAGTTTTTGCTTAACATTTTTTTACTATTTTTTTTTATGAAAAAATAATACGAGCGTGCTAAATTGTCCTACTTTTTATGTAGGTAACTAAATGTAAAGTTAAGGCTAATAATTTTTTGACGGTTACATTCCAAAAGTTAAACCTTGTTGAATGTTTGAATTATTTTATTTATTCAATTAATTTTAGTTTTTTATTAGTAAAAGTTTTTAATTACTTCTTATGATTCCATTTTTGTTCATCTGTTCATTTTTAAATATATTGCAATAAGAAGGACTAGCAATCATCCTACACCAGTAGCACGCATTAGAAATAGCGGACCGTATTCCGATGTATGAATTGTGTATCACAAAAATATATGCAAATAAGAAAAGAAATCTTATCGAAGCATGAGTTCATTAGAACATGAGAACAAGCATATGAGTTACAACAACTCTCACAGTATCGTGAGAAACATGGTACATACCTTTGGAAAGAAAGCGTCAGTAAACTTGTTAAATTATTTCACTGAACTAATAGTAATAAAGATTATTAAACATTACAAATTATTTTTGGGATGACAGCGAGAATGTTGATAACGATGGCAGTGGCGTTATTCATTATGATTTTGCATGTGTTGGCCGCATATTTTGCGCCAATTTAAAAATGTTACGTAACTCGCACGAACAAGCTGGTCTATTGCTGTACAACACATGCAAATCTACCTTCCAAACAACAGCCTCACTTCAAACTATTAACCTGCCAAACTCACCGGTCCACTTAGAATTTAGCAGTCACCAATCTTATGTAATACCAACGAATGAACTTAACCTTACATACTTCCACAATCAACCGACCAGCAAACAAACGGATGAAAATTTAAACCACTTCCAACATGACAGAAACTAAGACTCGCTCTGAACGAATGCAAATGCGTCTTTCAATTTGCAAGACGAGATAAGGTTCTGCGTGATCAAGTCTGCTCATCAATGTAATTTAAAATCACGTGATGTAATATGATATGATGTCATGTAATGTCGTGTAATGCGATGTAATGTGATGTAAAGTAATGTGATGTAATATTATGTAACGCGAGGTAATTTGGCGTAGCCCTTTGATAGCAATATTTAATGTCATGTCATTCTGCCTTTTGCAACATCCCTCTCATTGTTGTTCTTATAATTTTTAACTGCCGATCTTTTTCTTATAAAATTTATAAAATTTAAAAAGTTTTTTTTTAAAGTTCCAGTTTCGAATAGAAAATAAAAAGTTGTCGATAAAAATAAAAAATTGTATTGGATAAAGTTAAGCTGAAATTGCAACATGAAATCGATATTTTTATTCCCAAAAATTTTATGTGATAAATATAGTATCGTTCTGTTCATTATTTCAACTTAACAATAAATGCAAATGCAATTTAAATAAACTAACAGCGCAAACAAAACCTTTGCAGTGAAAATATTTTAATGGGCATAGTAAACAAAACGTTTGAATGAATGCAACACTATATGGGGATGGTGCCTCGTGGCGCGTCCAACGCTACTTTCAATGTCTTGTTCGTCCTAGTCTGTCTCCAATATTTAAAAAAATTGCTAAACAATTAAACACAAACTAAAACAAAAATGTTTAACAAAACTAACTCTAGCCTACACCTACACACACACACATACACACGCACACATACATACACACGCACACAAACAAACACATAGACAAATATTTACATATATTTATTTGAATTATATACTGGTTAAAAATTGTGTTGCATGCATAATTTTAAATCAATTAACTGAACAGCCAGCTTTCTCCATATTGAACTGCATTGTCATGGCGATCGACCAGGCGGGCATGCGTGCAGTTCAACTGGAATGGAGCCTGTCAACAAGAATGCACATCAAATATTCATTCATGCCTCATAAAAAGAAAATTTTTATGGCGCAATAATACATTTGGCGGGTCGAAATTCATCAACGTCTGCAATGTAAGCAATTTAGATGCGTGTCAGCCGGGCTCAGACGCTGATGAAATGCATTATAACACATTAGAGAACCCGCAATTTCAACTTAATACGAGTGTCGCCGCATCACATTGAACCATTGTAACGCAACATCGTAATAACAACTAGAATGGAATAATAATGCAATAACAGATTGTAACGAACAACAACTGCAAAAGCAAATTATGCAGTAATAGTTATAACGCAACGGCATTACAACAATTAATTATCATTTCCAATAAACAATCATCAGGCCAGTTCATCTGATGAATGCTCCCCCAAAAGCCTCTGTAAGCCCAACGTGAGCAGGACTGTGAGCGGTTGTGCATCATTATTTGAGGCTCTATATTCTTCTATTTATCTGCCAGGTCCAAGCGCCGAAGTTTTTTTGAACGTGTATAATTGTTTATGGAAGCTTCTTATTAGCTCCCCATGCGTCTATAAATTATTTTGTTTGGACCGCCAAAATAATATTTCTATGCTACAATAAATAGAAGTGAGCGAAAATGTATGATTTATTTCCTAGGCTTGTCACGGTTTGTTTTTCAATTTGTTGGTCTTTGAGTTTAAACAAAATGACCAATGTTGTCATATGGGATTTGCATGTCTTAAAATGTCAGTCCAGCACATTCCACAGACCTTTGTAAATTTTTATTTTGCGAGAAATTTAGTTTAACCATCAATCACAAAAATACAAATGTAACAATGCAAGACCGCATAATATATAACCGATATAAGAAATGAGAAAAATTAAGATGTAAGAAATATTTGAATCATCTCAGATCCAGCCTCACCGACCAATTTGCTCTTCACACCAAAACAAACGCTAGCGTCATTAGTAGGATGAGTTGAAATCATTCAGAGAGTTTGAAGCGAATCTAATCTTCTTATACCACAATATACACATTTTATTTTTGCATCTCAGTGAAAAGTAATCAGCGTATACAAATTGTTAAATGATGAAAAATATTGTCTAACTACAAATATTTACCTTTTTAATGCTTCAAAAATGGAAAAGTTTGTCGTACCCAAACTAAATTAACCAGACAACTGCGGATGGTTGTAATTGTTTTTTGTAAGGTTACACGTCTTCCTTTCGTAAACTAAAAAATGCCAAATATGAGTTAAACCTTTGACCTTTGTAAATCATTTTCATTATTTAAAATTTTTTCAAAATTTGTCAAAAACCTTGCAAAACAAAACAACAGCCTGCAACTAACTAAATCATTTTTTGTGTCGATTTCAATCACCAAATAATCAATCAAACAGCGCACGTACACCAACTTATCATCCTGCAGGCAAACATTAAGCCTGCTACTGAATCACTTCGAAATGCTGGAAAATTTTATTCTCGTTGGTTGAATACTGATTGATGGTTTGTATCGCGTGTACTTGCTGCTAACTATGTCTGGTTGGATGGGTAATGGATAGATGGAAGGAGAGATGAATGATTGAGTGAATGGATGAATTGAATCAGCGACAGATGACTAGATGTGCGAATTAATAAGTAAGTGATAGATGGTTAAGTGACTGAACGGTTAAGTGACTGAATGGTTGGTTGGACAGCTTATATTTATGGATGTTGATAACTGAAAAAATTTTAGATGTGTAGAAACTGATGTTTGATAATAAAAAAAATGCTAGTCTGAAAAACAGTAAGCCGGTGAAAATTTTTAAAATAAAATTTAAATTAAACCATTCATTTGAGAAAAAAAACATGTTTACTATGTATAAATTTATTTTGCTGCTCGTTACACCCGCTCACATACTGCTCATCAAACACGACATTCAAAGACCTCCTCGTTCAAATAATTCCTAAACACACACACACACACACACACACACACACACACACACACACACACACACAAGCATGGAAAAGTGTTCACGTGCCAGTGTAGCAATATAAGTACCCCTATTTCAATTGACCCAATAAAGCAAAACCACTTTTACATTTGAAAATAGCAAGATGATTAGTTTTGTTTTTAAGAAAAAAAAACATGAAAAGCAATAAGCTAAACATTTTTCAAACTTTTGAGGAAGTCCAGAGAAGCTGGTTGACTGGATGTTGGAAAATAAATTGAGGGTTGAGAGAACGACTTGGTGTGAATTGTGGAGCTCTTAACTGAAAACGATGATTAATGACGTATCAACTGGACTACTGGACGACAATTATTATCCTCCATGATAATACCAGCGAGACATTTGTAAAACTTTTAAGAAGCTTTTAAGTTTCTTACTTTTGATTTATATTGCTTTGAAAAAACTTTTAACTGCGTAACTCAGAAAAGTAATATATTATTAATGGTTAATGCTAAAAAGATAATGGTAATAGATAACAAAATTATTCATAGTTTGATGATTTAATGGAATAAAGTGGCACAAAAGTTTATAATTTGAATCACTAAACAACAGTTATCGGAAATTAAAAAAACGTTTGGCATGTTGAAAGAACATAATGTTGGGAGTTTTATTTTATATCGTTTGGTTGGAAGCGTTTGGTTGTGTGTCATGGTTGTGTTATGTTGTGGTGTGGTTTTTTTTTATAGTTGCTTAGTTGTGTTAATGTTGGTGTTCAGTGTGGTGTAATGTCGTTGAGCATGTATGTAGATGTGTGTCTGTGTATATTTATGTGTTACGTACCTGTGTTTAACGCAGCCAAATGGTATGCGTGCAAATGAATGCGCGTACAGTTCTTTTGTTTGCCTAATGTAGGAGTTGATGGTCGTCTGCTTGTCTGCTTATTGGTCTGTGTATCATTGAAATTTTTAAGCAAATATGTAGATGTTGATATTTATGGCTATGATGTTGTTGGTAATTTGGAAGATGATGGCTATAAAGATGCTGATAATGTGGGCCATTAACAAAATTTTAAAAGTGATGGAACGAAACAAGAGGAATAAATTTCGTTTCGTATCATATAAATATTACTGATATGAACAATGATTGTCGTCGAAAAAAATACTTAAGGTTGATTGTGTTAACTGTAGTTATCCTTTCAATGCCTTCTTTTAATGTTGAATGTAATACTCACAATGATGATGCCTAGCAGGACGATGATGCCAGCCAAAAAATTGAAGCTACTTATCCATGGATGGCTCCAATGTCAATAATTATAACGAAGCTAATATTGAGGATAACGATGTCTGTATGTTGAGATTATTGCAAATGATAACAATGAAGAAGTTTATAGTTTTGCTGCAAAATTTCTAAAAATAATAAAAATGAAAAAACTGTGAAGATAGATATTAAGATAATATCATTCCAACAAGCATCGTTGCCAAAGAAAACATCACCATCCACATACATTCCATCCACCTCATTCTTGTTTAATGCTAATTTTGAAAGTCCCGCTGTTAGAAACTCGTTTATCTGCACAAAAACAAAAATATTAAATAAAACGTCTGTTGCTTTTTTTTAAATTTTCATTTAATCTCTATATGATGTTACCTATCTAGTTGACCAGCATCCACGTAAGAATGACTGAACAATCCATATTTGCACTCAATTTAAAATCTTATAAAAATGAATTTTGCGATTGAAATTTTGAGATTAAAATCCAAATTCCTCGAATGAAGCCATGAGTTTTTAATTAAGAAATTTCTAATTTTGTTTAATAATATTAACGATAATATCATAACAATGAAGTCTTTTCTATGATTTTCTTTTCATTTTCAAATCAACATAAATCTGAAAGCGACATAGATCTTTTCACTCCCTTCTAAATATGTACACGTACATCATAAACAAACTTTACAAAAATAACTGAAAACACATTTTTTGTCTCAAAGGAGCGAACAAAACGTTTATTGATGGGATGTTATTTTTCAAAACTTTATTACAATATAACATTAAATCAAATAAACAATGCTGAAAATGTGAATAAGCAAATAAATGAACAAATAAATAAAATAAAATATTGATGTGGCAAAAATAATAAATAAAGTTTTCACGTTATAAAGATGCTTGAAATAACCCAAATAAGCAGCAGTCAAAATTACAAAAGTATGTATCTTTATTTGTTATTTAATTTTAAACAATTCCTCTCAAGTTTCCAAACATTTTTGTATATGAAAGGAAGCATTAACAAAAAAAAACAAACAAGCAAACTGTCCATATTATCTAGATACAATTAACCAACAAGATATGATTGATTATATATGATTGATCGGAAGCGATTAAGCAAATGGGATTGATTGGATATGGTTTTGACCATTATAAATGAATAACCAGCTGGTAAGGTTGAATGAACACGATTCAACAGCAGGTGGGTCATTCTCCGTCAACTTGAACGATTTAAAAAAAAGTCCACGCCCGACCATCTCCGATTTTTTTTAAATTTGAACAGTAAGTACCTCAATGTATTTCATCGACAAAATAAAATTTTTATAAAAAAATTTCAATTATTTTTCAAGTTATGAAGATTTTTGTGACAGCATCCTCAAATTTTTGAGCGATTTTTTTCAAAACTTGTACCTACGTAGAACGCTATATCTCTTGAACTAGCCAACATATCTTGATGAATTTTTTGTGCATA